TTTCATATTGCATAGTCAAAAGGGGCATTTATGTCATGCGACTACAAAAAAACACTACAATTCCAACGAAAAATTTCAACGGCAAAAATTTCCGTTGGAAATTCGAATGAATATTCCAACAAAATTAATTTTATGTTGGAATAAGTGTTGGATAGTTGATGAATTCCAACGGTATTTTTCCGTTGGAATAGCTGTATGAAATTATTTCCATAGGATTTTCCGTTGGAAATTTGTTATTCCAACGGCCATTTTTCCAACGGATTTTTATACGTAGGAATATCCGTTGGAATAGCTATTCCAACGAAAATATAAAAAATTCCAACGGAAAATTTCTGTTGGAATGTAAGAGTTTTTTTTTGTAGTGTGCAAGAACAAATATCACCAATTTAATTAATATACACAACCCCATAAGTGACATGGCAAACCCATCTAAACTTTATTTAAATATTTTTGGAAGATTTAGTAGGAATTTTATTATTCTTTATGCTAAAACTTTAATAGTATTAAATGGGCAGAAGAAGCATTTATGAAAGCCCCCACCTCCTATCTTTATCATCAAATTTCCACCTTTGGAATTTTCCATGGTCCTCACACTACCTCTAAACAAATTAATAAATTTATAGCAATTGAGCCAACACTTCAGCTTATTATAAAACAATGTCACAAAAATCTTGCTTTTTATTGATACACTCTTTTAGCTATAGACAATGGCAACAATATCTCAATTCTTGATCAGTATTTTCAACTCAACCATCATTTTCTTCTCAACTCTCTTCCTCGAATTCGCGGTTTTCGCATACGAAACGGCCAAGACCTCCGTTCGGAGAAAGTCAACAACCGTTGACCAATTACTTGAAATCGTCGGTCAATGCTTGCCAGAGCACAAAGTCGAGCTCGGGTTTGAGGTTTATGATGAGGAGTGTCGAGTGTGCCTATCGTGCTTCCAAGAAGGGGACAAGGTTCGGGATTTGAAGTGCGGCCACACGTTTCACAAGGAATGCATTGACACGTGGCTACAACGAGAATCCGCCACGTGTCCATTGTGTCGTGGGGCAGTCTTACCGCCGGAGATGGTGGCCGGCCGCCTGAACCACTGCCGGAATCTTGAGTATGATGATGATGGTGATGAGGAGGTAATGGTGTTGTATGCATTACATGGGAATTTTTTCAGATTTTTTTTCTGAACATACTGTTTTTCTAGATTGTATAGTTTCTTTCTTT